GCTCAGAGCAGTGGAAATGAGGACTGAATTTATGAGGCTAAGGACAGAGGCTCCTGGGATGGAGGGTGGTGGGAGGAAGACCTGAGGGAGAGCCATTGAGAGGCAAATGATGAATCCAAGGTATTGCATTTGAAACCATCTCCTGGAAAATTTCACACAGCCGGAAATCTTCAGAAGTCATTAGGCTCTGAAAGGAAGGTGGGCTTTTCCAATTTTAAGGACCATTTCAAAGAGGTTAAATTTCTTCCTTTCTCGAAGGCAGCTCTGAGCCAAGAGGATACAGAGCCAACTACAAGAAGTGTTGGGGTTGGGGGGAGTCACCCTGCTCAGTAGAGTGTCCCCACTTTATGCAATGGCTGATGAGACTTCCAGCCAGCAGGCTACTCCCTGGGGAAAACGTCTTGGAGGCTGTGAAATGATGCCGGCTCTTGCCCAGAAGGGGTTCTGGATGGCTGGCACTGAACATGAAACTAATATGAGCGAGTCTGGAAAGCGATGGAGAAGTAGAGAGATTTGGTTTAACCCCACAGAATGTGTGTAGGTGGTGGGGGTAAAAGGTGGGGGTGAGTCTTGAAAGAAGAGAACAGACTGTCTGTACTGAGCTGGGGTCTTCCTGGGCAGAGTCCTTAGCTGTAGTCCTCTCTCCTCCTTTTGACCCTCTCTCACTGGGTAGGTCATCCAGTGAGCACCTAATACATGCCACAGTCTGCAGGGGGGACACTGAGGGACTCTGCCCCTGTGCAGGTCACAGCATGATCACCACACACTGCTCAGCAGACCATGGAGTTTAGGGGTGGTAGGGCTTGGTGCCAAATCCTGTGTGAATCTAGACTCTCACTTATTAACTGGGGAACACTGGCAAGGAATTTACCTTTTCTGAGCTTCTGTTTCCTCATCTGGAAAATGGAACTAGTAATACTTCCTTCCCAAGGTCCTGTAACTTTTAAGATAATGGTTGTAAAGCACTTAGTTCAGCACCTGGTACTCTTAGTATAGTTAAGTGTTAAGAAATGAGTGGTTGTTTAATTAATGCTTTATTCTGTGGCTTTTCAGGAGAAAAGACAAGATTGCTGACAAGGAAACTTCTTGGATGGAAAGGGAGCTTGAGGCAAGAACTGAGGACTGGGAAAAAAAAGACCTGGGTTTAATTGAAACCCTGCCACACATTAGTGAAGGGAGGCTGCGCATTCTCCCACAGCCACACCTTTGCATCCATAGAACAGGAGCAATTGCAATCACCACCCCTACCACCACCATCATCACTACTACCATTGGGGACACCACCCCAAAAGTGATGTCCCACTTGGGATTGGAGTTGGCAGTACTATATAGGGGTGTTGGGGTACTACAGAGGGGTCTAGGGGGGCTACCAGTGGGGGTGTTGGGAGTGGGGCATGTAACCTGTGCTCTTCTGGGCCACAGGAATCTGTTCAAGCATCTTGTGTGGTTTGTCAGGAAGGAAGACCACATGAATGAGGCTGGATTTAACAAGGGATTTCTTAGATGAGATTGGAAGCCAAGTTCCCGGGAACCCAGGGGCCTGAGTAAACACTTGTATAAAGTCTGACTTCACTGTTTCCACAAACCTAACTAGAGTGCTGGGGAACTTGTCAGCTCACATTTCATTACAGGCTGGTTGCTGAGTGCAGGGCATGTTGATTTAAGCTGCCTTCATTAAATCCTGTTCTCTGTGCCAAACAGCAAGACACTCATCTTGGGGAAGAGACAGTCCTCCTTTTTAGGAGGGCCAGATGGTGAAGGCCCATCTCTGCCCACCCCTCCACCCACAGTCAGTGCTGATGGTGCAAAGATCAGTCAAAATGTGTCTGCCGGCCTGCAGCTCTGAGGCAAAGCTCCGGGCAGTGTTCGTGTCAGCCCTGCCAGGCCAGGGCAAATCAACACCAAAAAAATGACTGCAGCTACTGTGTGCCGGATTCTGAGTTGAGTTGGGCACTCAGGTTCACCACTTGACTGATATTTTCTCACTGAATCCTCACAGCAGCCCCATAAAGCAATTTTACCCAAAAGGAAACTGAGGTTCGGGGGGTGGGGCTTAAATCAACATGCTGACGTCATTCAACTAATGGGGAGCAGGTCTTTGAAACAAAGGTCTGAGTCTGTTCATTATCCTGCAGTTAACTCTGAAAACACAGACAGCCCCACCCCCATGACAACGGCATCCACTCAATGAGGCCCCTCTTGTATAACTTCATGGAAAAAACTCAGAAATCTCCAAAGAGCTTCCAGGGAGGGAACGTTCCCTTGGAAGGGGGGGGTGAAGCGAGGACATGAAGGGCTCACCAAGGCAGCCACACGCACATGTGCACATGAGTTCCATACTTAATGACCACAGGTCCTCAGAGGGAGTGTTATCATTATCTCCATTTCTCAGAAAAGGACCCTGAAGTCAAGAAAAGTCGAGTCACATATTTAGCACATGGCAAAGCCAGGATTCAGCAGGGGGTAAGAGGAGAGACCACCTGTGAAGTGGTCAGCTGAAGATGATAGCGGAGGAGAGAGCAGCCTGTGGAGGCAGCACAGAGGGCCGGGAAGTGGGCGAGGCCCAGGGCCTTGGCTAAGCTTCGCTCTCAACTTCTACATCATCAACAGTGAGCCTCCAGCAAGTCACTGTGAGCCCTGAGCCAGAGGTGGGAACGACGTTATACCACACCCGCCGCCCTGCCTGCTCCCGGGGCAGCGGTTGCAGAGTACGGTGTGTGAGGCACTCAACAAACACAAACTTCACTGCTTCAAGGGGAGACAGTAATTTTGATGCCACCTTTTGCATTCCTGGGCTTGGGGCGATCACCTCCCTATTTTAGTCAGTTACAGATTAGAGATTTCAAAACTACAAGCCACATTTCTGAAAGGGCATATCTCATCTTTCCTCTATCAAATGACAATAATATCAAGGGCTCTCATCGAATGTTTTAATGAGAATGGTAACAATAGTTAACATTTTCTAAGCCCCTATCATAGGCTAAGTAGCAAGCTACCAGCACTGTTTTACATTATCTTAAGTAATTCTCCAAATGATAATTTTGCAGAAGGTGGGTACCATTATTATCTCCATTTTACATCTTAGAGAAGTAACTTGCCCCAGATAATAACTAATTGTAGCAAGGATAGCATTAGAACCTGGGGTCAGGGGCCCTTCTCAGCATATAAAGCTCCTTTGCCTTCACCTAGGAAGCCATGGATGACATGTTTGATAGCAGTTATGGGGTTGTGGTAAACAGAATTGAGGAAGATGAGGCCTCACGATTCTATTCAAAGCTGCTTCCAGTGATTCTGCAGTCTCCTCTTGCAGGTCCAACTCAAGAAAGCTGAGTGATCTCACCGAAAGTTATACCTGCTTCTGTTGGAGGCTGCAGAGTCGCATCAGGGATTAACAAAGCAAAGACAGCTATATACCTACCATAAATCATCTTTGTGGGGACTTTATCAACAATACAACCCAACGTAGCTATAAAAGGACCATTTATTATGTTGCTATAAACAGAATATATATAAAGAATTATTCCTAAGACTCCACACACATCTGTGTTTGCAATCATGTCTTTACACGAGCTTTGCAAACAAGAATAAAAAGTCCAATTTAGACAGTGTATTGAGTGTCAGTTCTCCATTCAGTGGGGAATGGAAACTCAGTCACCCAAAGGCTCCAATGCTGTGTGGATCTCATTTTTGTCAAAGATCTAAACCATCTTTCCTGGTCACAACCAGAACTACTGATACATAATATAGTGAATTAATTTGAACTCTGCTTTATTTAAATAGGGTGGTGAATCACCTACTCACTGTAGGTGAGAGTAGATATAGAATAAAAAATCTGTAGCTGCATCTGTCATTACTTTTTAACTGTGTGTCCTGGGGAAGATTAATTAAATTTTTTTCTGGGCTTAAACTTCTTTATCAGTTGATTTCATTTGTTTGTTGTCTCCCTTCCCACATCTAAGAATATAGGTTCTACTAAAGTCATGCTTTCCTATCTCTTTATCCCCTTGGATTAGGAGAGTGCCCAGCACACAGTAGGTGTGCAGTAAGTATCCACTGCATAAAATGCTATGTCAGTTGGTAAAAAAAGGATGATGACACCATTCTCACAGGGTTTTTGTATGGATTTCAGCTGTGGACACTATTTAAAACAGAGATTAGAAGTAACCATACCAACTCTTTGTCAGGACTGTGCTAGGTGATTCACACAGGTTCTCCTTTAATCCCCCGTGTGAAGGTCTATAACCATAAAGTGCATATAAACAGAAGAGTGACAGTATCATTATCCTTGAACTTTATATGTAGACACCCTGTGGTAAACCAAATACCACAAGCAAGAACACATTCAATCCTGAGCTCATTCACACATTGTATTATTCATTCATTACTGTTTACTGAGCAGTGGCCATGGGCCAGGCCTGTGGAGTCCTGGCATTGCAGAGTGACTGAGACAGGTCTGCTACCCTCATGGAGCTTAGAGTCTAGCAGGATCAGGGTGGCAGGTGGGGGCCAGATCACAGAGAACTCTAAGTACTAGCCAAGTTTGGACTTCATTCTACAGAATGAGTGAAACAAAGGGCTTGACAGGTAGGCCACGAGTTCACGCCCACATGAGCCAAGCTCCACCCATGCCAATATCCCCGAGATACATTGCTCCCTACGGCCTTGCCTCTAGGGATGTCCATCTTGAGGTGAGACACGAGATTTCGGTGAAACTCATCTATCATTATAATCACACGGTGAAGGGGCAATGTTTTGACCCTCAGGGTCACCATGATGAAAGGAATGGTGTGAAGGTATGATTTTTGCATCCTCTATTCATCTAAGAGTGGAGGTTTAAGGGCTAGAGTTCAGGGAAAGAAGAAAGCATTCAGAGACAGGGGCAGTCCTCTGCTACATGAGAGGGGACAGGGTCTGGCCACTGATGGGGATGGAACAGTAAACATGTTACATGGAAAGCCCCTCTCTCCCTCCAAGCTGGGTCCTCCACCGCTTGCATTTACCAATAGAACAGTCGTGTCCCGTCCAGCTTGGGTCACAGCTGCACAGCCCAGTGTCTGGGAGGAAGGTTCCATGTCCTGAGCACTGGTCCAAGCAGGTGGCCCTGGGTGTCTCGCAGTTGGTGCCGCCCCATCCCACAGAGCAGTGGCATTCGCCTCGCACGCAGACACCGCGGCCGGAGCACGTGGGGTCCATGCAGTCCACTGGACACAGAGAGAGAAAAAACAGGTGAGCAGCTGACCGACAAGAGAGGAGTTTCTTTAAGCAGTCTTCCACACTTTGGGGAAGGGGGTACCACATGCTCCAGGAAGACACAGACTCCCTGCGCAGAGCCCACAGGGTGCGGCAAAGAGCCACTAATGACTCTAGCAAATGGTAGACCTGGGTTCCTGACTGCCTGTGTCTCTGAGTCTCCTTCCCTCACATGTAAGATGTGGATCCAGAGTCCTAGCCTGGGTTTGTGGGGTGGACAGAGTAGGAAGTAGGTATCAAGTGCTAATACAGAGCCACCGCATCTGTAATCACTGTAGTAATCCGGCCAGGACTCTGCTTTGTTCAATCCCGTGTGTCTATCTCCCAGAAAAGAGCACACATGTAGGAAGAACTCAACAAATCTTTGTCAAACAGTCTTATTGTTTAAACTTCATAATGCAGCTTTACTTATGTGAGTGTGGGGCTGAAAAACAGAGTTTCCATAATACAAACAAGAATTTATTTTGCATTTCAGTTCCATTAGCTTTTATCATCTTCCCCAAATTCTTGTAACTGATAAGACTTTCAAACCTCACTCTACAGAGCACAAACATCTCAATGACTAGTCAACATTATATGGCAGCTTTGCACAGCTTCCTCTCAAGCGGCAGGTGGACGATATAGCGGCAGTCAAGCAGCACCAAGGTTCATAGGCCCAAGTTCACAGTGGTCCCAAGAGACTAAGCCAGAAAGAAGGGAAGAACAGTAACATTGAGAATGACCTGCTCTGTGCCTGTGGGAGGTGCTTACAGACATTACAAGGCTAGGTTTTCTCAATAACATAGTGGGATGCAGATGCAGAAACTGGGGCTCAGAGAGGTAAAATGATTTATACCTGAGCAGATAATTAAACCTTGCCAGAGAGAAAGCTGAAGACAGGCAGGTCTGTCTGATTGTGATATTCTGCTACTGGGGTTGATTTTCCAAATTCAAAGCTTTAGTTACAGGCCTACACAAAAATTAGCCGAGACCACTAAAGTTCCACAAAGCTCTGCACAGAAAATGTAGAAAAGTATTGAGCATTATGTGTGCCCCATGGGGCAGCAGAGAGTGGACAGAGCTGGTAAAGGAGGGTGTTCTGTGTTCTTTACTCAACTAAAATGCTGTCAGATCTGCCTGGTGTTCTGGAGCGGTAGGGGCTTCCACTCATTTTGCAATGGTAAGAGGACAATGGGGTGCTGATTGGTCCCAGCACATAGCTGGTGCGGAAAAAGTTTTGCTGGAGCAGCAATGAGCTCCAGATAGGAGCTTATGAAGAAATCCTATGATTTAGAGGAAGGAACTCAGGACTTGACCTCTGGTGTGCTAGGTTCAAGGGTCAGGAGACAAAATGTACTGATTCTATACCATGGTCAAGTCACAAACCTCTCTGAGCTCCCATTTCTAGGGCAGGTGTGAGATTAGCACCCACCTCTGGGGTTGCTGTGAGGACCAAATGACAATGAGGCTTTGAAAGGACTCTGTGAGCTGTAAGTTGTTGGAAAGAAGTTACTTTTCCATCTTCACAGGCTATCCAGCAGTAAGACTTAGTGAAACTCTGCTCAGAGCTCATTTATAATTTAGACAAGCTTTTACTTTCTTTATCAATTAAATTTTATAACCCTGTATATTTGACTTTTGCACAAAGGACTGGGAAACTGGCCTCACAGACACCAACGGGCAGAGTTTTTACAAACGGCAGCATTTTGGGAACAGAATGTTTATTTTGAGGGCCAGCTTATTAAGAAAACTTTTTTACTACTTCGGTTTTCAAAGGAGCTCAGCTTAATGACCTAAATGATAAATACGAAGATCAGAGGCCAGGAGCAACCTTGTGCTAAAAACATAATAATGGTAACAACAGCAGCAATAATAACAATTAGCATTAATTTAGTCCCTCTCTGAGGCCATATTTTGCTATTAAACCTTTTATATACATGATCTCTTTTAACTCTAATAACAGCCCTCAAAGTAGATGCCATTATTATCCTCATTTTAAAGATGAGGAAACTGAACACAGAAAGGTTAAATAACTTGCTCAATACCACACAGTGGTGAGTGGAGGAATTCAGATTTTAATCACTCTTTCCTGGTGCAGATTTCCTGGTATGTCGTCTATAATCTTACTGGTTCAGAAATACATGCATACATTTGTACAAACAAGGGCACCCAAAGTGGTTAAGAGTAGAAATTAAAAAAAAAAAAAAAAAAGACAAGGAAACAAGGAGAGAAATAGGGCAAAGAGGAGAATTAATGAAGTCAAATGTAGGCAAAGAGTCTTTTATCTTGCAGTCCCTGGGTACCAGTTAATAATGGCTAAAGTATGACCTGTTGGGTTTCCTGATAATTAAAAATAATAAAAATAATAATAGTGATAAATTTTCATGACCTGCCTCAGATCTCAGAACCCCAGAGGGATTATTCTGGCCCATTAGGTTACTATGATATTTCCCTCGATCCAAAGAGGAAACAAGTCAGCCATTCCTATCTCCAGCATGTAAAGGTATTTCCTGTTGTGTGAGTGCCTGGACCTTAGCTTTGGGTTGAAGCTGTCATCTAAGGCGCCCTCAAGTTTGAATCTATAAATCTGTTTGCCTGTTAGCATGCAAGCTGAGAGGGTGCCAAGTTTAGCACGAGGCCCTTGGCATCACCATCCTGTTCCTCAGACACAGTAAGTCTGAGAGAGGCCCAGGAACCAGCAAAGTGAAACCTACACTCTCAGAAGATGGTCCAGACAGGGAACAAAGATTGGAAGGAAGTGATGAGAGGCTACCTCCAGGCAATGACTTGGCCAACCAGGTGGAACACGAGGGAAGTTTTAAAAAGGACAGCTTCCCCAGGGCAGGCAGTTCCAGGAAACCTCTGCTGAACTGCCAGAACACCATCCCTGCTTACCCTGAACCTAAGGCCACGAGGACCCCTTATCTGCCCTCCCTTTCTGGGGCCTCTGGCGAAGGGAACCCTAAGATGAGATGGAAGTTTCCAGAAGAGTCTTTACTTCCCAGGAAGCCAAGAGTAACATAGGAAAAACCAGCCAGCCTGCTGCAGGGTTGGGTGTGGGGGGGCCACTGTGCTGAAGGGGGCAGGTTGGCAGGGAAGTGGGCTGAATCCCCTTTAGGATACAGTCTAACTTAATCTCTTCTTAGAAGAGGTGCCAAACAGTGACATTTTTGTTCCTCTGCAGAGCTTGCCATTTAAGCCAAAATTCTGGCAGAAGCTCATCCCATTAACGAGATGATGACGCCTGCATGGCAGGCTGCAAACACAACTCTCCCCAAATGCCCCACGCTTGGATGACCACACAAGCTATTAGAAGTTCTTTGGGACCAAAAATACAGCTTCTCACTTTTCACTACAAAGGGTCTATGCTGTTCTCCCCCATCCCCAACTCCCTCCAAGAGTCCCATCGGCCTGATTTAGGCTTTTAAAAATATGGGGCAATAAACTTCAGAAAGAAAAGGGTGGAAGGGAAAAAGTAAGCTTGTTAGCTGATGTTTTATAAACAGTGCAGCGGGGCCCCGAGGAGGGGCACAGAGAGAAGGGAAGAGGACAAAGGCTTCGAGAAACCCCCTTTATAAACACAGGACTATGCAATGATGCTTCACCAGAGAGACAGAAATAATAAAAGGAATCAGTACCAGATGGGCCACCTCAGAAAAGAAAGCAGGAGTGCAAACACTTCTTTTCAAAAAGATAATGTAAATCAGAGAGCTAAACAACTTCTTCCTCTCCTTGTAAGTCAGCCGGCACTCGGGGGCACTGTCCGGTGCCAGCTGACCTTCGAAGGACAGCCTTCCCTGCGGGCCCACACAGCATGTGTGGGGGATGGGGGGTGGGTGCGACTGCCCTGCAAGGTCAAGAGGAATCTCCTCATAGTTTTTCTTTCCTTCTCAGGGTCTTCATCACAAGTGGCTACAATGAAAAGGGAAAGCAGATGAAGGTCCCTATTGTCATTAGGGGACGTCCAGTTACTTTGTTTGAGGGGCCGGTGCTCTCCTCTCTCCAACAGCCCGAAGTAATCCCTCTCCCAGTTAACAGGACTCCAGCTACACGTGGGGTTGACAGAAAGACAGCCCGTCCCAGAGAGATGATTTTCAGACACTAATTCCTTCCTGTTTCTCACTTTCTTAAAATAGGCCCGTTATATTCTCTCTCAGTTTTTGTTTGTTTGTTTTTTCGGAAAAAATGATGCCTCGATAGGGGGCTGTCTGTTAAATCCCAAATGGGATAAGAGAGCTAGCTCTCCTGGCATCTCTTCCACCCACTGTAGAAGGTGCCAGGCCCTAGTCACAGGCAGTGTTCATCAGTTTCAGGGGCAAATCCATCCATTTCCAAAACTTCAGTGAGTGGCGTGAAATAGGAAATGTGCTTCAATTGTCTCCAGAATAAAATTAACAATGTAAGTGCTAACATTTATGGGGCATTTACTCTGTGTCAGGCACTGGGTCATTTAATTTGATCCTTACCATGGCCCTCTGAGGAAGGTATTCCCGTTTTGTAGATGAGAGAACTGAAGCTAGTTAATGGCAAAGCCAGGACTCCAACCTGATTCTGATTCCCAAGTGTGTATTCATAAAAACTACACTACACTGCTGGTGGGTAAGACCCCTCTCCTTTGGAAATCCCATGCAATCAAGGGGAGAAAACAAGGGTCTGGAGGGAGAAGACGTGGGTGAATCATAGCCTGCATGGGTTAGCTCTGTGATCAAAGGTATGTCAGTATTCACTCGCGAAATAGAAACATTTACTTATATCACCTGGTTAGATTTTCTAAGAAAGAACTGATGCTGCTGTTAAATCATCAGTTAACCTTCTAGCCTCAATCTCCACAGGCATGAATTTACTTTATGAAGGAAAGATGGGCACTGAAGAGCCACAAACATGAACACACACACAAGTGTGTGCAAGCACATGTGGTTGGCCACCTGCAAGAGCAGGATAATAGAGGACGGAGTCTTGAGGTCTATAATAGTCTTCTGCTGCAGAGATCAGGAGATCAGATAAGCTTAAAAGGAGTATAGAAAGAACTGGGACTATGGAGCCAGAAAGATGGGCTGAAACTCACCTCTGCTGTGTACCGCTATGTGACCCTGGGCAAGTCACCTGATTGCCTGAGAGGATTACCTGTTCCTACTGGGGTTGAAGTGACCTGATACAAGACTTCTAGCACAGCAAGTGCTGAAAACATGACACCACTCCTCTTTTCACTGAGCAGGACATTGGCTTGTCCTCATCCTTTTGATTAACGACTGTTGCTAAAGGCTTCTTGGCTCAGGGATGGAGGTCACAGGGTCACTCAGGAGGCCCCCTCTGTTCCCGCACGTCCTCTTGGCCCTGCACGCTGGTCATTATCTCAGAACCAGTGCTGGTGCGGCCTGCCCATCAGTCTTACCTTCCTCGCAGCTCTCGCCCTTGTAGCCAGGGTTGCAGATGCAGGTGCCCATGATGCAGGTGCCATGGTTGCTGCAGGCCACGTCGATGCACTGGTTGGTGGGCACGTCGCACTCAGCGCCCTTCCAGCCGCTGTGGCACAGGCACCGGCCCTTCATGTACTGGCCATTCCCACTACAGAGCACGGGGCAGGAGGCTGCAGACATAGCACAGAGCTCTGCGTGAGTCCACCGTTGCTGCTTTGTCCCTGTCTTCCCTTGGCCAGCTGGTTTGAACAATAGCCTCAATATTTTGCCCTGTGTGCCCATCTGTTTCTCTTGCTTTGTTTGTTTCCAGCTTAAACACATCTGAAATTATAGGCAAAGGTGCGAAGTGCAGGGCCAGGTGGAGTTGGTGCCCACCATGCTGCTGGCCCCCTACCCCCTCGGGTTACAGTGCAGCCCGGGACCCTCTGTCAGGACGCCTCATTCTGTTCTTTGGTCTCATTGGAAATGACAGTAGCTGGGCCTCCTGCTGCCCCTTCTTCCCCCAGCACTCTCCTCCTGAGAGCACTCCATTTCCTTTCCACACCTCATCTGCAGTGCCACTTACTGTTCTTTAAGCAGCAAACCTCAGCTTCTTTTGCCTTTCTGGCCCCCACTCAAGCCCTGTACACTACTGCCCCGTAAGAGAACAGCTGAGCCCTATTTGGTGCTTTAAAGCATTATCTTTTCATTCTACCTTTTAGTGTAAAGGGCTTTGTGATCATCGGTACAAAGGACACTATATAAAAATAAATTATATTGCACTGTGCTGTAAGTACCTACCAGACTTGCTGAGGTACAATAAGGCTGTTTTATACATGACTCTTAACTTTAAGTGCATATGGGATGAGACAGAAATTCCTGTGACAGTGATGACTCATCTCTCCCTTCTGCACCACCTTCCAGGCCCCCACCTGGCTTCTTTTCTTTTTAAAGCACTCAGCACGTAATCACTGCACCTCCTTGGGCTGCCGGCTCTGCTACCTCAAACTGAGTCTTTCTCACAATTGAAAGAGTAAGCAGAACCCCCCAAGCTGCACCAGGCCGGCATTGGCGGCCCTGTGTCCTCGGCTTGGAATCCCATCTCCACTTCCCACCGATGGACACCACTGCAGCAGCAGGTCTCATTAAAGGGTCTCCTCAGGGGAGACTTTCTGGTCCTTTCTTTGTCCAAGTAAGACAGTTGCTCCCTTTCACTCTGACAGATGCCTCCTGCATTCAGCCTCGTTCAAGTGTGTTCTGCTTACTGAACTGCTTTGTAATGCTCTGACTTGTCTGCCTCCCAGCCTGAGAGCTCTGGGTGGAGTGCAGCTCAGTGCTGCACCCCAGTGCCTAGCATAGGACTGAGTCCTAAAGGGGACAGAGTAGATGCCTACTGAATGAGTGAAGAGGTGGGAAAACCAAAGGAAGAGGCCATTCTTGGGGGGTGGGGAGAGGCCATTCTTGGGGAGTGGGGATGTAGGAAGACCCTGAGCTCTCTTCCTCCCATGGACACACCCATGGACACCTATACAAGGAGTAATTTCTTCAAAATGGAAGGGTAAGATTTATTTTCTCAATGGAGTGCTAAATTCTCAGCAACTACAATCTCCGTCGGCATTTTTCTTGTTAACTCTTCTTGGCCAAAACTACAGGCTAAAGGCACAGGGAAGAGGCAGGGCAGCCTTTTAAACGATCACAATAGGGGTTATCATTAGCACTGTATGTGCCAAATAGCTGCAACATCAGGGTCTTGTGTGGCGAAGGACAGCCTTGCCTCCTAAGCCCCCCCCTTCCCCCCACCTTGTTGGCTTCAGCCAAGATTCTGTCTGTGCTATTAGAGGGTGTAATAGAGCAATAACTCAGGCCCCATCCCCTGGGCCACAGAGAAAACACAGCAGCTGCAGTGGAGCTTCAAAGACACCGGGCAAAGGCTGATTACTTCTCTGCTTTTCAAAGGACCCCTCTGCCACTCCCCACGCTGCCCCCAAACGGACACTAAGTTAAGCGAGGTTGCCCCTTCCTGGTGAGATGCACATGTGGGTACCAGCGGCTGGCCGGGCAGCGGCTGTGTCTGCAGACCTCCCTCTCAGGGACGGCCCTCGGGCTGGCTTCTGTTGGCCCTGAAGGAGCCTGAGGTGGTGCTCCTGCCCTCAGCAGCAGCGGAAACTGAGCTGGGCGCCTGGCAGCAGAGAAGGGGCTCACTTGCAGAGGCCTCACCTCTGCCGCAGTCGGGGCCCAGGAAGCCCAGGAAGCAGTGGCAGGTCCCCGAGATGCAGTCTCCGTTACCGAAGCAGTTGCTGGGGCAGTTATCCACCGATTCTGGGGGAGAAGAGAGGGAGAGTTGAAGACAGAAACCCCTTTATTCAAAGAGGGGATCCCAGGATCCAGCCCCAGGTTAAGCCTGACACACACGAGCGCTTCCGGAACGTCGCTGAAAGGAAGCGGGAGGGTTCACAGTGTTACTTGTGCTCTTGCTGAGGTGTTCTGGAAGACACCTGCCTTGACCATTTTTTAGGAACCAAACCTGTATCTACAAATGCGTTAGAAATTCTTTAGCAGAGAGCGTTGGAAACCACCCTTCAGCTTATTGACAGTGTTTCCCTTTGGATACTGGGCTATTGGACAATTAAGGTGGTCTTCTTTATATACTTGTGTTTCACACTTTTCTTATAATGGAGTAATATTCCATGAATTCATTTTTTCATAAAATGACTGGGCCTCTGTAAATCTGTCTTTTCTTACCGCTCATTTTTCATCTAACAGTCCAGGTTCCCCCACTTCTCATCTAGGTTAATGCAGTGACCTCAGCTTCCTCTCTTGTTCTCCACCTGATTCCTTCTCCACCCAGCAGCCTCACTGTCTTCTCTGGAACAAATCTGATCCTCTTACATAAAACTCCTTCCTGACTCCCATTTGCCAAGATATAAAAATTTGAGGCCTTTCAAAAGGCATTGGATTTTTCTCTTATCTTTCCTTTGCCCTTCCTTCATCCCAGTCTCTGCTAGCATGTCCATATTTTTTCTGGAATGTTACTTTCTCTACTTCTTCCTAATACTTTTGGTCTACTCTGTGTGACATGGCCAAGAAATAAAGCATTCATTTCAGAAGATTCATCAAGAAATTAATTAGTCAATGTTTGTAGCTCTACTTAGTAAATCTGTTATCTAGAAAATCTCAATAATGCCAGATGAAGAATAAAGCGAAGAAGCCGCTGTGTACTGAACTGCCATGTATTTTCATGCAGTTTATCTCATTTCACTGCCACCAATTTTTTGAGCATGTGTTGCTATTAACACACTTTTTAAAGGAGTCTGAGAGAGAGAGAGATAAAAGTACTCACTGAAGGCCACACAGCTACTAAGACACATGGAGGCAGGATTTGAACCTAGGCCTTTGGTCCCAAGTCTGATTATCTCAATGATAATACACTCTCTGGGCCTTGCAGAGACATGCCAGAGGTCTCAGACTGAGCAGCAGAGTCAGAATTGCAAGTAGAGGAAAAAGTCTGCAGGGAGAGGCAGAGCTAAGGATTCAGCCTCTTTCCCTAATTTTCATCTGTGAGGAAGCCAAGAATAAAGCCTCTGTTAAATAAGATGTTAGCATATAAGACAGGAGCCCATGTCCTGAAATTTGCAGCTTATCTGGGAGAAGGAGATAACTGTCCCTTGGATGGAAGCAGGAGCCAGGGAAAAAGCTCTGCTTGGACATAAGGAGACCTGCATGTGGGTCTATGCTAGGTGCCAAAAGCAACTTCCTTCCTCTCTCCAGGCCTCATCTTCCTCAAATGCAAAATGAAAGCACTGGCAGGGGTGACCCCTCGGACTGCCTTCTGTTCTAAAATTCTTTCTATCATGAAGAGCAACAGTGAAGAAAAGGCATCCAGAGAAAGCCATCAAGGCTTGAACACTTCAGGTCAATGCAATGGCAACTGCTATGGGGCAAAACCGGGAGAGCAGAGGCTTTTAGGAAGAGATGGACTTGAAGAGTGGTTTGGGTATCAATAGATGGGATGTGCAGAAAGCCCATTCCCAAGTGTCTGCCATTACCAACTTGGAAACTATTTAAAAACTTAGGAAAAGGGGGCAGGATATGGTTCCTTTTGTTAACGGGAAATCCCACACACTCCAGGTCCCTCTTTAACACAGGAGCTGTTAAGAACAAGAGGTTCTGGGCTTCCCTGGTGGTGAAGGCAGTTGAGCGCAGCGCTGTGAAGCTGTCCACAGCCTCTGAAGCACCAGTTCAATCACCACCGGCCTCAGAGCAACCTACATGGCGCAGCAGACTTCTCCTGTCCTGCCCGCTGCTGCCCTCAGTAGTGTATTTAATCAGTCTGCCTGTTCTGTTACCCGCTCTGTCTCTGGTGAATCCTCTCACCCTCCCACGCATCTGGCCTGTACCCCAGCTCTTGTATAAATAAAAAAAAAATAAGTCTTATATAAATAAAAAAAATAAAAAAATAAAAAGAACAAGAGGGTCTAATCCAACATGTGGCCTCACTTCAGGTCTGGGTCACAGCAGAACAAGTTTCAAAAGCCAGGGCACTGAGGGACCCGGCTTTTCACTGAATTTTCTGGGAAGAATCCATGTTGTCATGCCTAAAAGTCAGAAGAAGCTTCCTAGACACTGTTTTTATAAGGGATGACTTAGGACATTTCATTTTCAATATTCCTTTAAAAAATAAGAACTGTGAGTAAAGTTTAAGGCAATATTATTTTCACTTGAAGCTACTTGCTAAGGGTACAAGTGGAGGGTGGGTGTCTCCTGTTGCAGAAGATACACACGGCTGGAAGGCCCAAGGCCTGGCCTCCACATCTTGCTTTGTAATGTCATGGCTGTGGGGCCTTGGCCATGTCACTTAATCTTTCTCTTCTGTTTCTGCATCCCCTACTTAGCAACCCCTATTCCTTCTTTTCTATCCAGCTCAAAGATTTCCTTTAACATGGCTTCCTGATTTCTGAAACAGACTAAGTTACTCCATATAAAAAAGCACCACATAATCTGTGTTGTTGCCTGAGAACTCTTTGAAGGCAGAAATGGAGATCATTTATGTCTGTATTTGCCCTGATATTCAGTCTACAAAAGGGGCTCAATCAACGCTTATTGCTACTCCTGAATGAATTCAACTAATCAACCTCAGACATCCCTCCCAGATCTAAAATTCCATGGTTCAGTCCTTCTCAAACCCAATAGGACAGACTATGTCTCCTAATAAAATTACTGTAATTACTAGTTGGATTTTTAACAGGATCAATGGCAGGTAAGTGTTGTGTACTTCATAAATTTTGATTCACAAAGTCTGCAAAGTTCAGACATGTTAATCATATGCCAACAAGTCTTCTTAGAGAAAAAGTGAGGAAAGCCTATTTTCTGTGATGGAGTATAATGCTGGTTGCTAAACCTGACAGAATAGAAGCCTGTTTGCTACAAAACTTGCCCCAGGCTACTGGTGTCAGAGAAGGTAGAAATTTTGGGAGACATGGAATAATTTTAGGACTGCAACAAGGAAGTAGAAGGGAGACATTTGGAAAAATTTCCTTTTGTTGAAATGTTTATGTATATAGTTTTTCTTCCATTTGGGAGGATTTCAATGACTTGGAGTCTGCTTGGGATCCCACAAATAATGAGTCTCCATCGACTACATATTTTGATGCTAAATGCTCACAAAGGGTCACTCTTTGGCCGGGAGATACATGAACTTTATTCATGAACATGCTGTATGTTCCCAGTTAGTGTCTGGTGAATTACTTCCCCCTATTGGCTCCTCTTGCTTTGCTTATGTTCAAAAAGCAGCTGCCTTCATTCATCAGGAGGTGTACCATTAGATCTTCTCAGATCTGGATTAAGAATCCAGATGCCTATAGATAACTGGGTGTTTCATAATTGGGTGTATGGTAACTTAGGAAACAGGGTCTTTCCCCCAGCTTTGTTTTTCTACCACAGCAGTAGGTCCTGGTAGGAAATCAGATTTTCAGGAACTTGTTTTTCCTTCCATTAATATTTGAATGCCCAGTTCAGTTCATTCTCTGGACATGTGTTATGAGGGGGTGTTCTCTGGATGTTGAAAAAAAATACTGCTGGAAATACAGAGGGGCATCTACAGGAGGAAGAAAAGACAACAAAGCTCCTTCCTGGAGGGGACCCTGGAGTGGAGAAACTACGTGGGCCTCGGGAACACACCACAGAGCCTCATTTTGCCTGTTCACTACCCATCTGTGGAATAAATCTTTAGTGTCACCGTATCCAGGTGAAAGATGATTACCATTGATGATATAGCCTCCTGAATTTAGGGCTGAGGTCTGGGAAAACCTGCTTTCATTGGCCACCTTCTGCTATTCTTTCTTAAAATCCTGAAGTCTCATTTTGTAGGAAACAAGCAGAGGCCATGGAGGAAAATCCTGTATGGAAGAGGTATACCAGGTAGCCCAACTGCCCAGGGGATTCATGTTTCACAGGGACAAAGTACTAGCAGCAGAAAGGAGGCTCTTTCACCTTCAGATCTCCATGGAGTGGGCACGCCCACCTCTTGCCCTAGCCTGAGAACACAACCCTCTGTGGTCAAAGGAGCTTGCTTTATGGCTGCAGCACCAAAGACAGGAAAGAATCAGTTATGAGTGAGGTTGGAGGCTGATAGCCATTCTGGGTCTCTCCTTTCTTCACCTACCATTTAACCCTCCCTTCTAGTGCCTTCTTGATGTCTCTCTGATGTATTCCAGTTAACAGAAGTCTGCACTTACTACCTACAACTCCTTCCTCTGCTTCTGTTGTAAAATTGGATGTTGACAACTGAGTACCCAGTAGAAGAACCAGGGTCTCCCTACTGCCCCACAGAGATCCACCCTCTGATGCCTCCTCCTGGTTTCTCTCTAGGATGCTAATACTTCAGGCCAGAAGAACTTGGACTCTAGGACAGCTGATTGGATGATTGGATGTGTAACCTTATTGCAGCTAGTAAAATTTATACTCTAGGTTATATCTATTATATTTCCTTTACTCCTAAAAGAGGACCAAATTTACCATCAGCAACCAAAAGACGAAAGGGAAACAAACTGGAGAGCTTAGCTGGGATTTAATTCTATAGCAACTCCAGGTTGAGGGAAGAGTCTAACAGAGACCCTCTTGTTCCCTCAAATGGAACTGTGAGCGGTATATAATTATAATAATTATGAGAAATAGGCACCTTTGTTGCCATTTTGCTGTTTCAGATAGAGAATGAGATTGGAAGCCACTTGCTCCTGGTCACACAACTGTGAGGGTGAATTTTGTAGGTGAAATAACTTTTATCTGAAGTTAAAGTGTTTTGTACATGGTCTGGACCAAAC